TCAATTAATGATCAAAAGACTTGTGTATGTTACCGTTGGTCATTTTGTTCTTTTTAGGTGTTGGTTGACAAAAAGAAAACTTAACATGAAAGGAATTTAAACTGTCCAGAATAGATATTTCTGAGACATTTTTGCAAACTTTTTGCATTGGTGACATACATTTAACAAAATCAGCATTGGTTCCTGTGGGGGGTTGGGGCACTTTTTTTTTTTTAATGCCAATATTTCCTTTTTAAAATGGCCATCAAAGAGTTTTTTCCTAACCTCAGAAGTCATGTCACCAACTAATGTTGATGGCTTCTTTCTTGTGTGCATAAATGGGTTTTCAAAATGATTATATATATATATATATATATATATATATATATATATATATATATATATACACACACATTATTTTATAACAATTAGATACTTCATGGTAAATAAAGAAGCATTATTATGTACTATAAATGTTATTTACATTTATTTTACAATTATGGCCACATCACTATATGTTAATTAAGCAATTCTTACTAATATTGTAGTTGAATCTAATTTTTTTTCTTACCTACTATTTATTTAGAAAGCTTTCAAGTAAAAGGTTAAAAAAAAGCAGAGTGCCATATGTATTTCACAAAAATTTCTTGGGAAGCTACAGACATAGAGAAAGATGCATAGTGTTTCCAATAATTGGCAAAGCAACTTAAAACTAAAATGTAATCGTTACCAGTATCTGGAGACCTGGCATAAATTGAAATGCTATATCCACCAAAATACATGGCAGTCCAGCTGTTAAAAAAGAAGCCAAGCTAAATATATAATTCAAAATATATTTAAGAAGAAATAATTCAGTTAAAATCTTACTTTATAATTAAAGAATGGAAACTAAATTAGTTTAAAGTGTTATGAGATACTATTATGAAAAATTCTGGACTAGGAAAGATATTTTTTATATTTTGTTTTTATAATTTTTATAGAAGTCCATCATTTTTTTTATTTTAATATTTTGTATTTATATTTTGCTTATGTTTTTGTTCTTTACCATGTTTTTAGCTTTCTCACTTTCCTTTGTTTATACATTCTGTTGAGAGGGTGCTGAAAAGTTCTCAGCTCAGCCAAGACACTCTCTCAAAACAATTCTGATGTTTTGGTCACATTTAGGGAAGTGGGTCAAACTTTGAACCTTTCCACGCCCAACCCCTTGTACATTTAATGCAATTGCAATTTTTTTTTTTTTTTAAAGTCACTAGTACTTTATATCTTTTATTAATTGACCAATACTGTCAAAAAAAAAAATACATTCGAGTAATTTTGTAGTTGAATTGTACTTAAGATGAGAAAATGTAATTTTCTTCATTTTCTTGTTTTTATTCAATACTTTCTGAATATTTAAAAGTAAAATTAACTGAAAATAACGATTCCCTGTTTTTGTTTTGTCTTAAATGAAAACAAATGCAAGGAATTAAACTATTTTTTTTAATTTTTATGAAGGAATGGTAAAAAAAAAGTTCATAGCTTGGAAAGAAAGGGATTCTAAAACAAATTTAAAGATTTGACCATTTAGATTTGCTTAGAATTTTGTAAGCGGTTTGGGATGAGAACCTCTTGTATATAGAATGTAAACATGACTTTTAAAAACTGTCTACACAGACATGAAGTGGCACAGCAGTATTATATATTGTAATACAAAATAGCATGAGATAAAAACAATATCACCAAACTTGCCTGAGGATCCCAAAGTTGAAATTACAGTAGTGGGTGAGGTAATGATATCTTTTTTTAAAAGAAACATTTGTTATATATGTGTGTGTGTATTGATCATTTCAGATCTGGGAAAGACTATTTGTCAGAAGCAATTCATTTGATTGAACCTTTGTTAAAATCCACTCAATCAAAGGACAAGTTCCTCCTCGGACAGGCATATCTTTTGCTTTATACATTTGAACAAGAAGAATTTGATCAAAAGGTAATCATCTGCATTTACTTTCATTTTTCTTATTATTCATGCATTTAAAAACATATATATATATATATATATATATATATATATATATATATATATATATAGCACAAAAAAAGTGTTGTACTTTTTAAATGTGATAAAGTATAGTTTTAAGTATGTTACATTGAGCACTTTAACCCAAAAATATAGCATACCATAAAACGTGTGTTCACAAATATTTTGCCATTACTTTTAGCTGTTTTAATAACAAAATATTATTAAAAAAAAAGAAAAAAGGGTCACTTTCGTTTTTGTTCTTTTTGGTAAAAACGGGGATGATTTAAAACCTAGAATAACCAAATAGAATAAAATACCTTTGAAGTATTTATTGCAGGTTTGTAAAATGTCAATACAGTAACAATCTAACAATGACAATTTTTTTTTTTTTTTTTTTTTTTCAACTCATTTCTTTCAACTCTCAAATGATCATTCTGTGTCTGTTATGAAGTGATGCAGATTGGAAAAGAAAATAATCAACTTTATCTTGCTTTTTCTCAGACTGTCTTAATATGATAGCTGCATTATTGATTAGGTCATGAAGACCTTCCAATTGCAGTCGTTCAGTCTAATATTCTAGCTATTCTTGATTTGCCTTGATTGCTTGAACGGAAAAAGAAAAAGTAATCTTATCTAATTGTTTTCTAATTTAGAATTTAGGTCACCAAATTGCTTTTAGTTTCTGAGCCGTATAAAACTATTTCAGATGATTCATTAAGCTTAATTTTTGCCATTGACATTGACCTTTTGTAATTAAGTCTCTCTCAGAATCTCTTAACTTTTATTTATTTATTTATTTTTTTTTTTGTCTTAATTTGCCAGGAGGAAATAACATGTCATTAAATATTGATCTTCGTCTCTTTGACACTGAATTGTAGAAAGGGAACTAAGTTTGTAACCGAACATTATAAACAGATTGGGAAAGAAAGAAAAAAAGAAATGGTTTCTTGCAAGTTAAGAAATCTAAAAAGCCAATCATTTTGTCATGACAAAAATCTTTGGGCAAACATGGATGAATGTACCCACAAAAAGACATACAGTCAAAAGGACGCTTTTTTTTCCATCACTCTTCAACAATGTTTATCTTTTTAAAAAGCAATGATTAAAATTAGAATAAAACCTAAAAACATGGTGAAAGTGAATTTATACATTTTGATTGAGAATTGACAGCAAAAATATTTAACACTATTTATTAGATTATTTATTTACAAGAATAATTTTATATTTACAACATTATATTTACAACTAATGCAACATTTATCATTTACCAATTTATAAAGAAATAAATGTGGAAACAGCTTTTTATTCATATGGTCCTGTATATAAAAGCATTGGTTGAAGTAATCCAAAAGGTGACTTGGCCCAAAGAGTTGTGAGTTCAATACCTAACCACAGCAGAGGGAACAAAAACTTATGTTGAGTTCCTAAAGGGAATTAACTCTGACTGAGATAACCAAAAAGGGCATGGCATATGGAATTAGAACAATCTACCCCTGTGGATTAAGTAAATGGTTCAGTTCAAAATTCCAGCATATATCACTTGAAGGCCAGAGTGTACAACAGCCAAAACATTGTGAGTATATGACAATAAAGATGAGGACAACAGTCCAAACAATGTAAATAGTGTAAATAGTTACAATAACTCATCTCAGAAATATAGACAAATGTTAAATTTATAAACATTTATTAAATTATGTGGACTATAAGGAAATCCTTATTATGCACCATTTTATAAAGTTTGAATTGATTGGCAATTAGTTGATGTTTTACTAACCATTCCAATAAATAATATAATAAATAGTGTAAGTAAACACTAATAAATCTTTATTTTTGTTGTTAACTCTCGAGAACAAAAAGAATGTATAAATTCACTTTAATCATATGTTTAGGTTTTATTGCAATTTTAATTATTGCTTTTTAAAACAAGGAACATTGCCAAAGAATGAAAGTGGTTGGAAAAAATAAGAAGCAATGTCACGGGGGAAAAAACATCCTTTTGATATTATGTTTATCCGTGTTTGCCAATCTTTGTTTTAGAAATGTTTCAGTAGGAATTGATAAATATTTTTGATGTTATTTACACTGTTTCATAAAGTTGTGATTTGTTTTTGTCAAAGTTCTTGTATAATTCATAAGACAATAGCAGAAATAGCTGAGAACTGTTAAATAAGCATTTACATTTGCACTTGGTGGTAATGCTGATGATGACAGTGATTATAACTGATTTACTTACTTGTATCTAGATCAATTATTTTCCAAATGAACTAGGAAGTTGTTTTTGATGACAAAATAAACTGCAATAGAATAATTGTTTTAATTAAAATTTTAAATCATTTTTTAGAAAACATTCTCGAGTGTGAGGATTTATTAAAATGTTTTCAATATTTTATTTTTGCATCATCATTTGGTTGATATTTTTGACAAACCAAAAATTTGGACTTAATGATTGACCCTTTTCTGATCTTAATGTGCCATTATTTTGAGAATATTAATGTACATTCTTACAATTGTGTGAATTTAAAATGATTTCCCTTTTTTTTTTTTTTTTTTTTCCCCCTCTATGAAAGAATTTTCAGCGTGAGAAATTTTTGGGAACTCATACAGAACCCCAACTAGAGAAAGTGAAACCGTTTACCTTGCAAATAGAATTTGCTGGTATGGAAAAGCTTGATCTTTCTTTGGAATTATTTGAAGAGGCGGTAGCGGCTCCTGTTGGTGATGAAGAAAAGTACAGTAAGATGACGGCAACTGACATTATTGCTCTTGTGAATTCAATTATGTTTGCTGCTTCCATTTACACGGCTTCTTTGAAGGTAGTTCATTTTTTTTTTTTCACATCAAATAATATTTTTTCCCAAAGGGAATGAAAGAGAGATCCCATTATCAAGTTCTATGCATAACCTTTACCTTCTATAATCAAGCAATAACTTTCAAGTTCTCTTTTTGCTAAACAAGTGACAAGATGTTCCAGTCTGATATCTTTTTTCATTTTATTCTACATGCGTGGGAACCCGAAATTATTTTGACCTTTTGTCTGTCATTAGAAATATACTTGGCATTTTTTTGTTTGAATTTTCAGGCCATGTGGAACTGATTTCATGATTTTTTTTTTTTTAACATTCTATAATGTCTGTTTGCAAAATTCATTTTCTTGTAAAATGAATACAAGTTATTATTATTAATACTTGCCTACCAATTATATGGACCCCTCCCAAAAAAAAACTACTATTATTATTATTATTATTCATATCCGGGATGAGGAGTTATCATTATTTACATATGGACAATTTGGTGATATAGTAATTGCAAGTTCAATCCCTGGGCTGGGCAGTGTGTACTTGAACTCGGCAGAAATGGGGGTGAGTAATAACTGAGCAGTATTGAATAAAATGAGATAAAACTAGTCATGAACAGTCACCCCCCCCTCCCCAAATGTCAATTAAATGCAGCATTCAAAGTTCTTGAAGGTCATCTGGATCAACTAGCGCCTGATGAAGACCTGAAATATTGTGATAACAAAAGCAGTGATGGTGACAATAGTCTGTGTGTAAAATTATTAATTCTTGTCTCTTTTTACTATGAAAGTCAATGTCCTTACTGATACAAGATAGCAGTCATGAAAAGAAAAAAAAAAAACAAAAAAATCTTATCAACTCTTCTAAATTAATGTCTTCCACTATAATACTTTTCAATAAAGAATTATCCAATATTAAGCAAATGTTTAGTAATGACTTTTTTAATCACATTATTGATGAATGCTGCTGCTAATAATAATAATAAACCTGATTTAAATAGGGGTAAAAAAAAAGGTAAAATGACTATAGTAGTTTAATGGAAAAAAAAAAAAGAAAAATAATAAAAGGGAACAACAGAATGAGGTAACCAGTTATCATACCTTGCTCATCAGAACTCAATCTCAAATAAGGAAGGTAAATTTTTTTTTTGTTTAAAACTAATTAAAAAGGAAACCTGGAAGAGAAATTCCATGCATATAAATAATAATATATTGAGATGGGAATATTTTTTTTATAAAGAAATCACATTCAGTCCTAACAACCAATTGTTCTGCTTACACATGGAAGGGGTTGTCTTAATTTAATGTAAATAGTTTCAAGGTCTTTTAAATGATGATTAGAATGCAAATTAGCCATAAAAAATAATATTGCCTAACACTGGAGGAGATTTGCCCAGTGATGGCCTACATATCTAAAACTAGTTTTATAATTTATTTATTTTAATGTTTGCCATAATAGCAATTTCTACTCTTTTAACGGTCCACACCAAATACCAAGAATCTCTTTTGTTCAGTTGAGATTTCCATCTTCTGCTAGACCCTCAGATAAAGTTGTTTAGTATTGATTCATTGTGTACCTGCTGAAATGTACCTCTTGAAGTATTTTTTTTTTTTTGTATAATTTGGTTTCCAAATCACCAAAAATTTAATAGCATAGGCTGTCCAAAAAGGTTACAATCACACTTTGCTGTATTTTCTACTAAGATCTTTAGTTATCAAGATAGGAATAATTACTATATTAGATGAATGTGTTTGTGAGTTGGTATTTCTTTGGGCTTGACAAAAAAAAGGATAGTGACAAAACTCATTTGTATCAAGAAATTATGTGTACTTTGGGCCAATTCATTCTGAAATCCCAGTGGTTCCTCTAACAACTACGTGACTACACTTCTACCCTGTGGATGACATTGATGGATATTATCCCTTAAAATAAATTTCCTATTAACATTGCATGTAACCCAAGCTTCTAAAGTGTTTAAGACTTTTGGTAAAGTTTGTTAGGCATGATGCTAAAATAATATTTCTCAATTCTGCCAATTTTGCAGAACTTTGGTAAACACATTAATTTTGTCACTGCAATTTCCTTGGAGATAAGTGGGGTATAGGAAATCCAGTTGTACTGAATTTACTAAATCTTACTAGGTTTATTTTGTGTTCAAATTCTACCAGTGCCATTCTCATAAGCATTTTATAGGTTCTGGTTAATATTTGTAAACTGGACTTTTTTTCCATCAGGTTCTAATCTTATTAACTAATCTGCTATAATTTTTCACATTTGGCATTTTTATTCCTTCACTTAGTATTCTAGGCTCTCTCGAGACATCAAGTCACTAAACGATGTTTCCTGACTATTATGCCATCAGGGTCATTGCCCCTGTTACTCTAACAACGCTTTTTTTCCATAAAAAAAATACTTTTCCAAATATCAATGTTATATTCCAATTCTCTTGTCCTTTAGGAAACTTTCATGTTTGTTTTAATTGTCGACAATCTTTGTTCTACAACGACATTTCTCTCAACAAGATTGATTTGTCATCCTTCTGAGAAAAGTGCCATATATAAACATTTAATACAAATTGTTGTATCCTTTCTAATTTCCATCAGATTTTAGTTAACAATACCACAGTACTCTGCCAATCTGATAGTAAAAAAAATAATGTCTAATCTTGGAAAACCTTAATGTTAAAAGAAATCAACTCTCCATCAATAAAAATTTTCAAACTTGGTGTGCTTTTATTAAAATACCTTTGAACTGTCATTTTTGCCACATGGTACTAAAATCTGTTTCATAATTGTAGCATGTGAACCCACATTTATTTAAAATTTTAGATTATTAACACAAATACTGAATGTTTCTTAACATTCTAACTTCTTCCCTTGAAATGAACATTGATAGTTGAAAGTACTATAAATGTAACAGGATATAATTTTGGAAATTTTTCACTTGATCTCAAGTGACTTGGTCACCATAAAGAGAAACTTATCAAAAGGTTTAATAAACATTCCTTTTCTATTCTATTTAATAGGACATATTTAAATGAAGGATTTCTGTTTAAATATATTAAGTTATTTGCAAATAATTTAGGAAAAGTACTCTGGAATTAGCCAAACATCTGCTATGTTATTTCTTGTTGTAATAAAATATGGAAATGTTCATGATGGAAGAGAAATTAATAACGTTTGCATAAAATAATTTTATTTTGTAAAAAGAATTTATTTCTGTATCAAAATGTCAAAAAAATATTTTTATTTTTCTAAAATAGACATATCATTTTCTGCAGCACTTAGTAATCATTTCTTTTCTTTTTTCAATGTTGATATGATTTTCATTTTAGTTTTTGTAACACACAAACATACAGAAATTGGATCATTATTATCTGGGTTAGCAGGAATGCAGACTATCCCCATTATTATTGCGAATTGAACTAAAAATTGCTTTATTCTCCAAGTTATTGCTCTAGCAAAAATCTCTCTACCTAGTGCTGTTTTTGCTATGTTACAGTAACTTGAACATAGCAACACCTACAAATGCAAACTGGGTCATTCGAATATGTTTTTATGAAAGAAAAAATAAATATTTGAATAATTTGTAAACTGTGATTATCCTAGATATTCTAAAAATCCTTATCCTAGATATTCTAAAAATCCTTATCCTAGATATTCTAAAAATCCTTATCCTAGATATTCTAAAAATCCTTATCCTAGATATTCTAAAAATCCTTATCCTAGATATTCTAAAAATCCTTATCCTAGATATTCTAAAAATCCTTATCCTAGATATTCTAAAAATCCTTTTATAAAATAAACAAAAAACTACTAAAATATACCTTAATGAAATTTGAGCACTTAATTTTGGTCTTCTTATGAAGATACTTTGTCAAATGATGTTTTTTAACTGAGTAAGTATTAATTTTTTTTTGTTTTGTTTAATGTGATTTTTTTTTTTTATCTGTAGCCATTGGATGCTGTCCGAGCACTGACTGTTGCTGTTGAAGTTTGTCAATCGACAGAGTCTTCAGAATTAAAGCTGAAAGTACTTTGTCGAATCTGCAACCTACTCTCTTCACTTGGTTATCCAACTTTGGCCAAATTTTTGATGGATACCAAATTGGATATACCACAAGATTCAATGGAAACTGCTTCCGAGAAAATATCTTTGCTTGTAAAGACACTGACCCAAGCAGAGTTGTTTGCTGAACAAGGAGAGGTATATTTGATGATAATTATGTATTTTTAATTGATTTTGTTTTCTTTCATGGATGTATAAATGTTAACTATATTGTGATAGGAAGATGGATGTTGTCTTGAATTCTGGTGCTATATTAGTTATTCCTCTTGTAGGGATCGCAATACTGCATCGCTGACGGGATGTATGACAGACAATTTTCTTTGGAATTCATTTTTTTTTTTTTTTTTTACTCACTTTATTTTGGGTGAACATAGTATCAGCATTTCTTGGAGTAAGTGGGAGAACAATGGAACAAAGGCCAACAGGTCGACCTGCCATCTCCATGTGGTGGCTGATCTCTCTCTGTTGAAGCTATGGCATGCAAAGCATTAAGGAGGGGGAACGCTTGGATGAGTACCAAGATCCTGGACTCATGGTTTTCACATCTTTCAGTATTAGAAGTTAAAGACAATCAGTCACTTGATGTTGGAACACCAGATCTGTATGTTCACTGAAGTTAAGCAATGTTGAGCCAGGTCTGTACCTAAATGGGTAACTGTTTGGGACTACAAGCTTGGACGTGCAGGTGGTGTAATGATAATGGCTCGGAATTGTTAATTGGAGATCTGTGTTCCAATTCTTGTTGGATTCATTATATTCATTTACACGCATATACCTTTGGGGAAAAGGTATGAATTCACATCTCCCCCAGCTATTGGTTAATTAGTAATAATTGTATCACTAAACCATTATTATCTCCCCCTCAAATATTACTGAACTCTTATTATTGCACCTCCTCCCCATTTCAATTCTTACAATCTAAAAATATTTTCTGGCTTTAAATAATCTGTAAAATGTTAATAATCTGTAGAATACAACTCAAAGACAATTCATCACTATCAGGCATCCATGCACATAAGGTTCAAACATTCCCTCCACATTTAAATTCGTTAAAATCCCAATTAGTATATTTGGGTTTATCTAGCTTATGTGTTCTGTAACACGTGTATACCAATTGACTAGGTTAAGTCATTTATTTATGTGAGTGGATGGATGGTGACAAAATTTTGGCCTAACCAAGAAGATGTTAAAAAAAAAAAAAAAAAAAATCATGTTTATAAAGGCATGTTTCATTGATAATCTACATTTGTATTTATCTTTTTAAATTTTTATCTTACATAGGTAACAGAGAAATTTGCAATACATTATATATATTTGTGTGTGTGTGTTATAAATTTGGGTAGATGATCCTGACAAAGTTATACATTATGATAATTGGAAAAAAAACGTTCATGAAAGTGTGTTTCGAAAAAATATCTGATAATGCATTTCACCTATGTTGGTCTTCATTAAATTGAAGATGAAAAAGTGAATTAGGTGTGTATGTATTTATGTTATACTTTCATAAACGTTTTTTCCAATTGTCATTATATATTTCTAGTCACAAATACCAAAATTGCATTTGTCTTTAATTTCTTTTCCTAATTGGCAATTATGTTGGCATACATTCAAGTTGTTAGAGATGATTAATGAGTAAGTTTTGGAGACAGCCGCTTAATCATGTTTTGCAAGATGGTTAAAAAAAAAAATCTTATTTGATGTCCCAAATCTAAATAGTTTTTTTTTTTTTTTTTTTTTAAATATTTGCTCCAATTTTGAGAAATGCTTCTGGTCAAGAACTTTTCAGCACTCATCTCATATATTATTCCAACTGAAGCTGAAACAAATTCTAATTTCATTTATGGAACCCAGAATTAGTAAGAGTAGAAGTAATTACAACAAGAATAAGTAAATTCTCTCTTATAAAAAGATTATCATAGAAAGAAAAAAGAAAATCTTTGTTACAAATGTTTTCGTCTAACAATTGGAAACCTTTTCATTTTTCTATTTTCAGCTGAAGAAATCATTTGAGTTGATGCAGGAAGTTCTTTGCAACTGTATTCTGACATCTAGCAAAAATAAGAGTTCATGTGCTCTTCTGGGCTGGGCGAAACGTTTGCTGTCCAGATTGAAATTGATGTCACTACATATAGGTGCTGTTGATTCGGTCAAATCAAATAATGAGGAAGAAACTCCACTGGATTTGGCATATGAAGCGATGCGCATGTACACTGCAGTTATTCACTGCATTATTCAACCAGATACACCATCATTTTCAAATTCCGACTTCGGTAAATTTTTTTTTTTTTTCTTTTCTTTTTTTCCTTTTTAACTTCATTTTTCATTTAATTTTTGAAGTTGATAACAGTAAATAATGTGAATAAATTACTACAAAGTTACTTTACAAAATTTTCTTTCTCTCTCTCTCTCTCTCTATAAAATGTAAGTTTTGTAATGAATGCAAAAGAGTTTTTTTTTTTTTTTTTTTTTAAGAGTTAACACTGAATAGAGGAAAGGGGCTGAAAATTATGTGCCCCCCCCTACCCTTTCTTATCTGTCAAAGGTCAAAAGGTCATGTATTAACCTTTTACTGCTCATTGTTTAATATGAAACATTTTAAGACACATTGATACCAGACAAGCATTAATCTATATATTAATATGTTATATAACATATTTTTGTCGCACTTAGTCAAGAGGCAAATGGGAGGAGACAGAGAGAGAATAAAACAGCAAGAGAGAGGGACACTGTGAGAAAAAATTATTTTATATTAATATGCTTGGTTAAGAGGTAAATTGAAAAAGTGAGGGACATAGTGAGAAAAAAAGAGAGCATAACACAGTGAGATTGGGAGGGGTGGTTATCTTAGATAAAGGCAAGTAGGTTGTAGTGATAGTGTTATGGAGTGATTTCACAGTGGAGGCTTGTATTTGTATTAAGTCGGTCCTAAAATAGGTTTGACATACAAAACATTAGGAACTTGATATAATAGGTATAACACAGAGTAAATCTAGTTGTGGTCACTGATAGTTTAGTATTCGACTAACTGTCCTCTGACATCGACTGACTGACTGAGTGACTGTTACTCTTACTACTCATACTTATTATAGGTGGGAGAGTCTATTAACTATAGAATAGGTTTGTTCCACTATAACAGATAGCTTAAAACATATTTCATTGTCTTCATTTCATGTTTATTTCATTACAGTATAATTTTTTTTTGTTCGTCACACCATTGTGGTCGACTTTAATTTACTGTGTTTTTTTTTTTTTTTTTTTTTTTTTTTCCATTTTAAATAAATTAAAAAAAAAAATATCTATTTAATAAATGTGAATGTCAGTGTGTCCTGTGTCACACTTTTTCAACTTTACTCCTAGAGACTGTTGCCCAATATTATCATACCACTTTGGAATGGGACCCAACAACTCCATGAGTAAATTAAAAACATTCTAGGCCAAATCTGGACCTGCAATACTGAAATTTTGTCTTCCCAAGTTTTCATTACTGCGATTTGTGTTTTTTGGCAATTTCCTTTTTTTTTTCTTTTTTTTTTTTTTTAATTATAACAATAATCAAAATTAATTGCCAGTGAAGACCTAATGTACATAAATTGTCTTTAAATTAAGTGGTGTCAGAAGAATTATCGTTGAACTTTTAAAAGGCAAGCTTAGATATTAATGCAATACATAAATGCAGCAATCAATTTTTGAGTTCTGTAGTTTATTGTTGCCTATTGCATATACTCTTATTGTGATGAAGGTCCAATCAAGAGCCCTCAGCAGAGGCTGTTTTAAATGCCACCCAGTAGGGTGGCTTTTAAGCTATTTTTTTATAATTCTTAAAATATATTTTAATGCAAATATTGTTTATCTTAAAAATAAAACCCAAATAGTACTCGCATATCTCTAACCCACAGTTGTGCTTAGTTTTCTGGGTAACATGTTCATAAGATATGAGTAATCAGCCCAAACCTAGGGCCCTTGCTTTTTCATTATTTATCAATAATAGGCTCAGAAAATAATAAATTATATGTGCTCACACATCATATTAAAATACAATTAGTTCTTGTCTAGTATTGATCATCAAAGTTAAGCAATATTGAGCCTGGTCAGTACCTAGATGGCTGACCACTTTGGAATACCAATTGCTGTAAGTGTGAATGTGTGGGTGGTGTAATGGATAATGGTTTGTAATTAGGGAGCCAAGTTCAAATTCCTGTTGCATTCGTTATATTCACTTATGTGCAAATACCCACAGGAAAATTATGAAGCTACCTCTTTGCCACCCACCCCCATGGGTTAATTACTAAGACTTGTATTATTAAAACTAGTATTATTCCCTTCCACCAAGAAAAAATGTGAACTACCGCTTCTCTTCCCTCCTCACCTATGGGTTAATTAGTGGGACTTGTATCAGTAAATCATTATCTCCAAAAATTTCTTACCATCTAAAAATATTTCCTGGCTTTAAATAACCCTGCAAAGAGTTTAGCTGTAAAAGAAAAAAAAACAAAAAGCAAAAAACCCTGACGGATCAGTCAATTGACAATTGTCTAATATCCCAGAAATATTTCTTAAAATATGTTCCTTTTGTGGAACAGCGTGCACTAAAATGTTTTTAAAAAATTGAGATGGTAGCTTAATTTCACTGTCATGTTTTTATGAATTCAGCCAATGGTTAATATTGTCTTGTGAAGCTAAAATCTATTTCTCATCAGTATCTCTTTCTTGATTCAAATAGTTTATCAACTTTTTTTAAACCTTTATCACTGTATATGACTTAATTTGCTGTGCAAAAGCTTATCCTGCCACTGAAGATGACTAATCCTTGAATTAGAATTTTTTTTTTTTTTTTAATTTCATAGTTGTGTTGTCATATCCTGCTATGGCAACAGAAAAAGACCTCTGAGAGAAATTAACAATAAATTATGTGCTATTGAAAGGCCTTGAAAAAGAATGTAATGGAAATGGAAGAAATATTAATAATGCAGAGTGTCGCCTCCTACTCGGCTGGCCAGCCAAATGCCTAACTGTTGTGGCTGATTGATGAGATGATCACTTTGATCCAGGCCCTGCCTTATCTAATGTTGTGTTTAGTTTTGATCATAAGGCTGGCAAAGATAGAATCATCATTGTCAGGAATCATCATATTGGGTTGGTCCAGACATAATGAAGACACAAGTGAGGAAAAAAAAAAAAAAAAATTTGAATAAAATTAAATGCTTTTATATTCATTCCTTTGTACAGCTCTTGGTTAATCTTGATGTTAGAAATTATTCAGTTCTTCATGCAGAAAATTATTGACCCAACCTTAAGTTGAACATGACACTTCGGTTGGTTTAAGTTTGGCACAAGGCTTATGTTAGAAGTTCTCTTCAGGCATGCAATCATGTGACATTAGGCAATGTGGTTGTCTCTTGTTTCAGTGTCTGCAACAACTGCTTTCATCCGCTTTGATTTATTGACATTTGCCTAAAACTGGTGTGAGGCATGACACAGCTAGGGGACTTGGTGATCTCCCTATCTTCCAACAAAAGCCCTTTTGTTGTCTGGCTCTTGAAAATTAATAACATTTCTAAATTGGGAGATCCCCTTTTCTTATGGGTAGCAGTCACAGGTATTGATCTGCCTTGATAACTTCTTCTCTTATTGGCATCTCACACCGACACTTCCCAATGAGTGTGGGCAATTCCTCCACCTTCCTCTGTATTTCACCTGTGCCTGCCACCTTGGCTACCCTTTAACCAATGTGGCTCTTGATTGCTCAGTGTGGCTTAACTTATGGTCATTAATTAAAAAAAAAATTATCATTTCAAATTTTGTTTATGCAAAATTTTCCTATCCTGGCCTTGTTCGAAATCAGATATTTACCAGATGGTTCTCTGGTCATCCATTCCACCAATCCTGTCAGGGTCGTCGCACTCCAACCACAAAGAAAGTCTATTCTTGAGTTTTGGTTACAGATCAAATCTTATCCGTCCTAATTATTTCTGTTTTCATAACCGGTACTTCTAGAGTGAGGTCATTAATCAGTTTTCAGCTTAAAGACTGCCACATGGCTTCTTGTTGTAATATCGTCTTTCCTTAAGGAATTCTTCTGGTTTTAGAGAATAAAAAAACTTTTTTTTTTTTTTTTTTTTTTTTTTTTTTTAAGAGAAATCTTTATTCTTTCTCCCGGTCTGTCTATTGTTCTATTCATTAACCTTTCTTTTCATTTACCAGCACCAAATAGTGTCACAGAGTACTAAAGTTTAAATATCTGATTTCTTTCTTTACAGTCAGTGGAGTAAGCTTTGATTTTGAGAAATATGAGATTGTATCCGAGCTGCTGAAATCCCTCCTTTACCTCAGTCAGCTTTACTGTCACGTGGGGGAAGAGCGAGAGGCAAAATGTTACATCAAAGAAGGACTAAGATTGGCTGAAATATTTGTCCTGCCCAGATGGTAAGCATCCTTTCTTTTTTTCATTTACATTATTTATATTTGGATTGTTGTTCTTAAATACAATATTGGAGCCACTAATGAAGACAAATGATAGCAAGTCTTCAGCAGTAGTTGTAACTTAATCAACAGCCAGGTTAAGTTTAAGGCTAAGTTCGTACAGCAAATTGTCTTAGTGACTTTGCACTATATATATATATATATATATATATATATATATATATATATATATATAAATGCAAGTGTCCAAATACATACATAAATATTTAATTGCACTATAATTTTGAATTTGAATTTAGATTCGAGCCTGAAAATAATAATTATTTGAAATTCTAATTTTCATTAAAAACAAGCTGTTATTAAGATAAGTTTAAGGATAAAGGGAGTAACTCTTTTTTTTTTTTTTTTTTTGTCCTAAAATCCGGGTAAATTAATAAAAATAATGATTTGTGATAAAATTATTATAAAAGTAAAATAAATAATACTAGTATAATAATAATGGTTATATAGTCAAAAAAAAAAAAAAAAATGACAACATCAAAACCAGTATATGTGGCATCCAAGACTGGGAAAACTATATTAATCTGGTTCAACATGCATGAATAGGGATTTACTTCTGTGTAAGCAGGCGCTCATTAACTCATTTCTTTTGTTTAACATATTGGGGTTGCTTATATTTTTTTTTTAGGATCATTAACTTCTCAGAAAAACATAAGCTATATTTATCACCTTTCTCATTAAAGGGATTAGCTTTTGTTATATACTCTCAGGTGATAGTTGGGTTTCTTTTCTGACTTTTTATTTTCCAGAAAAATTTATGGAGGACAGAGTTACTACATTTAATATTGTGTGTGTGTGTGTGTTTGTGTGTGTATATCACTTTAAATGTCATTATTAATGGATACTCATATTTGAGTCTGTGCTCTTATGTGCTAATACCCTTGGGAAAGGTATGAATCCTCTTATCCCCTAGCTATGGGTAAATAGTAGGACAGACTGGGTTCTTGGATGGCAACTCGTCTACTGCAGAAAGAAGTGGCAACCTACTGCTGGAAAAAAATCTGCCTCGTCAGTCATGTATCGAAAGATAGATGATCACCTAAGTGTGTATCATGCATGGCACATAACTGCTCTGTTTATGTATTTTTATTTAAATTCACCTATCAGTATGAAATTTTGAGAAATCTTATTAAAGAAAAATTTGTGCTTTTTGGAGGGAATTGAACCGGCATGTCTCGGGGTAGAGAGAACCACCATTTAACCGGGTGTGCCTTTACAGCTTTGCCTGACCATCTGTCTCTTTTTGGCCAAAGTCAAATTTGATGCTTGCAAGCAAAATTTCAAATAATTTTCATATCTGCTCCTAGTTTTGTAGGCGGATAGGTGAATATAAACACCTACTCAAATACAAGTATCCACGAATAATAATGTTTAAAGTCATACACACACATTATATATATATATATATATATATATATATATAAATTTCTCAGATGGAGTCAATCTGTAGGAGAGACAAATTGAATGAAAAGACAAGTGGAAAACTATATTTAGTTTTTAGCTGATGTGTTTTGTAACCTGACAGATTTTATCAAGGCAAATGTGAATGGTTTTATTTTGCAACAAGTATATATTTGACAGAAATGTCTAGGCAATTTAAGGTCTAAATACCTAGACATATCAGTTAACCTGTTGAATATTTATGTCTTTAAATTTAAAAATTTCCTTCTGAATATGCTATATGACATAAGCTAGGTTCTAACACCTCAACTTTTCAGTTGAACTGATGAATATTTATGAGCATTCTTAAATTTAAAAATTTTGAGTAACTGCAAAATATATGCTTGTTGCCTTGATAAAGTCTGTCAGATGACAAAAACGTGTTGGCTAAAAGCTAAGTATAGTTTACCTCTTTTCATTCATTATATAATTTAAAAATAAGATATAGAATCCTGACAAAGTTCTTAAGAAATTTGACAAATGGAAAATGTTTCATTGAGATTTGATTACATGTTTCACCTTTCTAGGCTTCATCAGATCCAAAAACGAAAAAAAAAAGAAATGTCTATGTATTTGTGCATATGCTAAAATAATGAAACATAGTTCTTCCCCCACCTAAGCTGGTGTTTCTTGTTATTAAAGAAAAGAAATGAGTGACTTTTAAAAAAAAAAAAAAAAAAAATTAATATTTATTCTATATTTTCCTTTATAATTCCTAGTTCATGTTGAAAGTTATTAATATATTTTTCTCAGCATTTTTTTTATATCAAATTAAATCCTCGTTTCATTTTCTTTCTTATATATATATATATATATATATATATATATATATATTTCTTAGGAAGACATTCTAGATCTTGAGCATTGGTGGTGTTTGAAACTCTACTAAAAGTTACTTGGGAACCAAACAATGATTACTCTGCTATAAACATGAAACAGACAAAAAGGATAATGTTAATGCAGTTCTCATTGAATGGTAGCCATTTTAAAAAAAAAATTTTTTTAATATCCAAATTTTACTTTTTTTTTTCTCTTCTACAGGTCTGCAGCATTCTACCTACAGTCAGTGCGAGTAAATTTTCTCTCAGGCAAAAGTTTAGATATTATTAAAGCGAAACAAGAAAGCAAGTTGATTCTACTGCTTAGTAATAAGAAGGATGTTGAAGATTCTCCCTGCCCACAGGATGTGGAGACTATGTGTACACCAGAAAACCAAACCAGCAAAGTCCTGGCCAGCAAATTTAAATGGTCGGCTGAGTGCAGCGACGAAGAGAGCACAATGAAAGCAGATACAGTTTCTGACCACACTCCACTTAGCAAGCATGCTGTTTCTAAAGTTGTGTACAGTCCCACAGTTACGCTAGACCTAACTGAAAGCCTTCCCCACTCTGAATCATGTCTGTGTCAGAAGTGTCAAGATGTGTTAACTTTAGAGCTTCAGTTAAAGTGCAAAATGATTTCTGGAGAGTTTGACTATGCATTTGGCCCTCGCCCATTTCAGGAGAACTTGCAGTCTGACATAGAAGCACTTCACCTCCAATTCAGCAGAATAATAAAGGCCAATCTGGAGCACACCATTTTGAACAAAGTACTTCATCCCCTCGTGAAACAAAAATCTAATGGGTTTAATGTGACGACCGACCAAAGTATTTATGTAGGAAATTGTTGTGATCTTGCTCGTATCTATTTGATCAGGGCACAGATATTCGAACAAGAAAGTCAATTTCAAATTGCCTTTAATAGTGCAAAGAAAGGACTTGAGCTATTAAGCAATGTCAATGGTTACAGCAATACTGACTTGTTTTTTCTTCGAGCAGGGCTAACTCTTTCTCTTGCAAACACCATCTCTTGTGTATCTGATAATATTAATCTTGAAGAATTACTTAAAACTAACTTTGATCTGGATTGTTTGTCTTCTCAGTTATCAGTTATATCTTTGAAACCCAATTCACAACATTCTCTATGTTCTGTTAATAACTCTGAAGCTAACATAGAATCTTGTATGGATAAAATTGCAGCTTTGTCAATTGAAGATGATCTGTGGAAAGGAAGAATAAATGAAAAAGTAAAGGAAAAACAAATTGCAGAAGCTGAAATCACAAATGTTGACCCCGTGACCAAAACTAATCCAGTGAAGAATGCTAATGTTAAGTCGCCTTTTCTGAAGCAAATACAATTGTACAAAGAGGAAATCTCTGTAGAAAGTCATGTAGGTATTCAGTCTAATATCAAAGAATTGTCAGAGGAAGGAACTGTTGCCCTGAATGCCGAGTGTGGACCCAAACTAAAAGCCAGGGGAGCAAGAAAAACTTCCAGGACAAGCAAGACGTCTCTGGCTTCTAATAAGGTGAAAGAAACTCTACCTAGAGGTGAGAGTGAAATAGAAACGGGAAGAGAATGCACTCGTGATGATGCAGGCGATGATTGCAAAATGGGAAATTTCGATAAGATAATTGAAAGAGAAATTGTGGAAGAGGCAGGAAAAAAATCCGTTTTAGAAGAAAAACTGGAGACTTCAGAAAGGCTTGATACAATTGATAACTTTGTCCCACTCTTACAGAGTCTTGACAATTCAGTTGCAAATGAGGAGACAGAATTGAAGTCTGGCCATATCAAGAGCCAAGCTTCTAAAAGGCTAAAGGTTTCTAGAAATGCGAAAGTAACAAAAACCAGATCAAGAGGCAACACTGTCTTGGATAAGACTGATTCTAAAATTGCTGAAAACATCCTGCCTCCTGTTCTTGAGGAAAACAAAACAAAAAGTCCTTTGGAAAAGGAAACGAATGTTGTAAAGAAACCAAATCGATCAACCAACAGAAAAGGTAAAAACTGCGCTTCAAAAATGATCCCAAATTCAAGTCCATCTCCGTTGGCCAACAAACGTGTAAAGAAGAAACCGTCCGAATCATCTAAAATTTTTAAATCTAGGAAAGCTGTTGACAGTAATGCATCTGAAGATAATCAAAATGAAGAAATGAATATTTATGATTTTGATGAAGTTGATAAAGAATTGACTGTAACGAAGGCAGCCAAAAGCAGGCGGCAACCTACAGCTAAAACAAAACCAACTGACTGGCAAAAGAGATTAGCTGAAACCTTCAACCGAGTTGGGAGGGAAATCAAACGGGAAGCAGATAGTCCTGTGGAAAAAAACTTCTCTGTTTCACCCGTGTCATTGACGCCTGACCTCTGTCTAAATAAGAGCTGGAGTTGCATTTCTTTACTGGATTCTGATTCTCCTGCCTCCAATATCTCTGGTTGCTTTTCATTCGAGGAAATTCAGAGAGTCTGGGAACCACTTTCTGAAGAGCTTCTCAATGTGAGTTCTCCTGAACTTTTACGAGCAGATAAAGGTAGCAATAACTCAGATGACACCACAACCAGCAGAGCTAAAAGAGCTACAAGAAGAGGCCCAGCCAGGGCTTTGGTTTCAACTGTAGATAAAAAAGGAAGACAAGAAAAGGGAAAAACACTAAAGGACTGCCAAGAGGAATGTTCTGGTAAGATTTCATTTAAATTTTAAAAATAAAAATTGAAAGTTTTATAGAAATATTAAAAAAAAAAAAAAATGATGTGAAGATTTTCATTCTATTTGGCATTTGTATAAATTATATATATATTAAGAAATATACATTTAATTGCATTTTCAGTTTAATGCAAAGTAATTTTCAATCGCTGGAAATTTATTATTTATATTTTGGGTTGACTTTTTTTTTTTTTTTTTTTTTTTTTTTTCTCACGAGAAATATTGTTGGAGTGGAATATTATTGGAATTAAAATATTTAAATGAATTGTTTAATTTTAAATTTGAATTTAAACTCAGATTAACATTTAACCTTGAAAATAAGGTTGAAATAAATTTGAAATCAGAGAGACGCTGATTTTGAAAAATTTAACGGGGGGGCATTGGAAAATCAAGGGGGGGCACTCCTACTTTTTTCCTTCAATTCAGAGAGTAATTGATAAATGATATCAAGAACAAAGTATGCCATGATAAAAGAATATAAAATAAAGTACTAAAACAACTACTACTAATACTATTAATAATTATAATAATACATATCAATGGAAAGAAAATTATTTAAAATAAGATGAAATGAGCCACATATAGCAATCAACCCAAAATGTAAATAAAAATAAATATAATTCCAGTACTTGAAAATTGCTTTGACATGAAACTCCGAGTTGTGCAATTAATGTAAGATATTAGGTATGTTTGTTTGTTTTTGTGTGCGTTCATTATTACTTAACATTGAGCACTGTTTTTTCTTACACTATTGAGTATTTATATGTATTTGTATACGATCGCTCAGTTGTATACCTATGTATATTTACCTAATCGATTATAACATAAATGTTATTAGTAGATAGTTTTATTTATTTATTAAACTGTATGTTTATTTTTGTCTACCGGCTTGAATTTGAAGAATATGTGCTCTCTGAAAAGATTTGAACCTGTGTTCACCTTGGCAATGATGACCAAACAAAGTTGAAAAGCATCTTTAAATACAGATTTTTCTCCAACTCTTGAAATATACATATTGGATCAGTTTTGTGTCCTAAAGTAAATTAAACAATTTCTAAAGAAAGGAACAGATATTTCATTTAATTCTGACAGATTTTTATTACTTAAATGTTATTTTTTAGTGAATACTTGTATTTGAGTCGACACTGTGTTTATTGACTAAACAGTATGTTTATTTTTGTCAACCAGGCTGAATATTTGAGAAATCTTTGAAAAATATGCACTCTTCATCAGGATTCGAATTAACATACCAGATCTAATGGCAGTTTATAAATAAATATACTGTTTAATAAATAAATGGAGAGTCTACTCAGATACAAGTAGCCACTAATAATGTAAACATTATTAGTGGCTACTTGTATCTGTCATAATAAAAATCTGTCAGATTAATAAATAAAAATCCTTTCTTTTTTTCTATGTGTGTGTTTATATATGTGTGTGTGTATGTGTGTGTGTATGTATGTATATATGTGTATGTATATATGTGTGTGTGCGTGCGCGTGTGTGTATATATATATATGTGTGTGTGTGTGTGTGTGCGCGCGTATATATATGTTTCATTAAATAATATAGACAAGTGTTGTCTATTTATTGTATGTAAATTCTTTTAATAATGTCTGATAAGTTTAATAACATTATCATCAAACAAAGAAAGAAAATCACAATATTGATCCATATTTTTTAATCCAATCTAAGCTTTCGGCTTACATAAGCCATTATCAAAGAAGCCATTACAGTACAATATATTAAGCAATACATGGACAAGAATGTGATGATAGTCTATTTCTGTTTACATGGATGATTTCCAAGCAACGATAAACACGTGCATATAAGACGCTAGAAGCGAAAATCGCACCGCATCTCATGACGTCACACATGACCACGCTTGAGTGAATTGGAGAAGTATTAAGTATGGGAAGCCATTGGTATAAACCAATGACTTCTGTTACCAATTATAGACATTTAAGGATATTTGTAGAGATTATACTAGATTTAGTGTAGTATATGAATAATTTATTTTTTTTGCTAGGATCTGTTGTTGATATATTAGTATTTACTAAATTTTTTAGCATATTTTCATCTTGTTTATGCATACTAATTATAAATAATAAAATATATTATTTAATGAAACGTGTATGAATGAAAAGATGTTGCCTAAATACACACTATATATATATATATATATATATATATATATATGTGTGTTATTAAAAGGTAAAACTACCCGGATATTTTAAATTTTTGAGTAGTGTTCACTTTCATAATTTTTAATTGCTTTTTGACACAACTTTTACTCGGTTGTCAATCTATGGCACTGATTGAATAAAGAAAATTCTCTTTGTGAGAATTGAACTCGTGTCCCCTTTTGTCTAAGGGAAGCCTAACATTAGTTTGGATCTCATAGAGATTCCTCTCATTGACTTAAATTCTGATCCTGTGCTATTTATTCGATGTCATAAATTGACAGCATGAGTAAAAGTCTGGATAAAAAGCAACTAATGCTAAAGATGAAAGTAAATGATCCTCAGAAATGACTAAGCGTTGGCAAAAAAGGGGGTCATCTAATAAAAATGATCACCCATTAGGGTTGTTGTGGGGAATTGCATATATTGCCACATATTTGTGTCTATGGCAAGATAACCTGATGGAACTCATTCCTCTTTAGACTGCTTTTGAATTCAGAGATGTCCTTTTTCTAGACTAGTTGTCACCTAGGGCAAGAAGTCCCAGTCAGCCCTGCTATTTAACTCATAGCTGGGAGGTGATTGATTCATTCCTTTTGAAAGGAAATTTATAAAGAACAAAACGAAATCAGTCAGAATTTGAAGTTCGCATGCCAATTCCATTTTTCATGATGATAACCATCATTCATTCCCCACACATCTGCAATAAAAACGAAATAAAGATACTATAGCTGCTACTAATACTACTAGTGCAAGAAGCAACACAAATATGATATTAAAAGATGTCATAGAATGGGGTGATGGTTTAAAGGTTAGATTTGATCTTTTGCAAAGTTGTCAAGTTTTTAATGGTTAAATCAGCTCAGTGTTCACCAGGCTTGTTTGAAAAAATCTTGCAGTGAGCTTATTCTTAATTTGTGATCCTGTTATTTTAATTGCCATAGAATTGATGGCTTGAGTAAAAGCTGCAATAAAAAACAAATAAAAGAAAAATGAAGATGAAAGTAAATGCTCACCATAAATTAGTAATAATGATTGACAGTACTTCATCCATCTAAAATCAAGTCTGACGCTTCTGCTATATATTTAGAGATTCTTGATAAAATTTAAAGAATCTGCAATGTTATTGGTCCTGATCTGGCATCTTGGCTTCAATCCCTTTCCTACTACCATAACGTAGCTTCCCTGTGCCTTTTCTATGAATATTTTCATGCTAATTGTTCTGATGAGTTATCATCTTTGGTACTTAGTCTTTACAAACTTAAGTGCAGTACTAAATTGGCGGCAAGCTCTCATCCTTTTAGAGTTGAAATGGCTAGATGGAACTGTAAGTTTCATGAAAACAGTTTCTTCTATTGCACTTCTAAGTTGTGGAACTCACTTCCGGTTTCTTGCTTCCCAGTCAACTTTGATGTTCAAAAATTTAAATGCAATGTCAATTATTATCTTTCTTAATTTTTACTCCTTTTTTGTCCTCTCTTCTTAATAATAGTTTTTTTCTCATATTCATTAACACTCAGTAACCTCTTGTGACATTATCTACTTCCCTATCTACACTGACTTTATCTGGTATGCTTCTGCCAACAAACTTGGAATTGTCTTCATCTGAATTATGCGTTGTGAATTCATTTTGGGAGTTAATTTTTAGAGGCTCACATTCACTGTCGATTCTTTTTTTATCAATGCCCCACCCATATGCTATTGATGTTTGGCTTGCTGCTGGGATGATTTGAGCATGTGTACCAGTTCCTTCAACTCTTTTATTTCCACCATGGCTGTTCACTGTCTGTTCATTTTATTGCAGTTGGTCTTCCCTAAACCCCATCCACCAATTACGGTATTTCATCTAAAAAGAATCTGATAAAAGTTGTCTTCCGTTCTGTTTCATCATGTCCATTTCTCAGCCTTTAGGTGAATTTGATGTGTGAAATCTCGATTGTCTCTAGTTTTGTTTATAACCAAATTTTCAGGTTGCATCATATATGAATGACAATGACTGACATGAGAATGTGTACCAAACTTGACAAAAGTTAAATAATTTATGCAATGAAACATTACACAAACAAAACTCTTCATATGAAATATGTCTGAAGAATTCAACAAAAAATAACATTGAATATTAAAACAAAATGCTGTTGTAGTTTCAGTAAATAGTTTCCAAAAAAAAATCATGATTAGTGACCTTAATATTTGTTTTGGAGAATTATTAATATAAAATGGAAATTTTACTCTCTCTTTAAATAATTATTTAAAAGGAGTTGCCAATTTCATTTCAATTCAACATGACGTGTGCTACTGTATTCTCTTAGGATCTGTTTGTGATTAAAAGTTATCTCCCCTTATTCAGAGATTTCCGTGGTTAACAGGAAATTTGAATAGCTGATTGTTGTGGTAAATAAAAATAATGGGAACTTGAATGAAAGCTTAATTATTTATTAAATCAATAAGAAAATTGGATAAATATGAAGTAGTCATCTCTGTCTCTGCGGAAAGCCAAATGTGTGTGTGTGTGTGAAAAATGTAGTTATAATAAGAATCTATCACAGTTCCCATGTTAGTTTGTCAATAGAAAAGATCAATCATTTAAGTTGAATCCAGTTTGAAGCAAGAAAGCACTAAAGTGACATTATCATTAATGTGTTGAGTTGTTGAATGGCGTTTTATATAATGTGTGTATGTGTTCTGTATTGAAATGAGTTATTTAGGCTGAGGATAAAATAATATTGGGATTTTGTTCCTTGTTAAGGATTATTTTAGGTTATCATTGTTTATCTGTCACTTGCTAAAATATACACACTGTGCCTGCATCTCTGTCGCTCAATACCGTCGTTTACCCTGTAGTAGTTTAAAATAGTGGTATGGTGGACGGAGACTGGCTGATCAGGACACCTCTTGCCACATCATAGCTAAGTGGCTTGGGTCAAGTAGGTAAGCTTTTTTTGCTTGCCAAACTCTACATTAAAAATATTCAATGTTCAGATATGAGATTTTCATCTTGTATTAAATTATTTCAGGTTTTCTTATTTGTTGCAATGAAGAGAAAATATTTTTGTAGCCATATTGTTTTTAAAGTTTATTTTCATGTGAAACTTTTTTAAAAAAATCTTTTTTTTTTTTTTTTTTTTTTTTTTTTAAACTTTTTAATCTTGGTTTGTCTTTTCTGATTTTCAGATTCCTCCCAGAGTAATATGAGGTTCAGGTGTTTGGAATCTGCATATGAACAGATGCGTCTCTTCCCCCCTTGTTCATTATACAACTTTACTTGTAAAGCATTGGCAATGAATTACCTTCCACATGATCCAAACATGGCTGCATTTTACCTGACTGAAGCTCAGTCAGTAACACTTCGACATGCTCTTATCACACAGTTAAGCAGGAAAATCAGGTACAAATGGAGAATTGAATTTCATTCTTTCTACTTTTGGCCTTTGTGTTTTTATCACAACTCTTTTCATAGAGCAAATAAAGTTGGTTTGAAAAATAGCATCTAGTGAGGTTTGAACTTCTATCCTGGGAGTTTATTTTTGTTAACAGCACTATAAGCAATTCAGTCATGGAAGGCAATGGTGCAGAAAAATCTAGATTCAGTTTACCATAATGAAAATGTTATTTTTATAATGTTATTTGAATTAATATGCAAAATATTTTCACTGTAGTATTTTATGCTTTTTGTACCTTTTTTTTTTTTTTTTTTTTTTTTTTTGTCATTTTATATTATTGACTGGTTTGTTAAAATTGTTAAGTATTGGGATTAAAATAAATGGAAAAAAATGAATGGACCCCCCCCCCCTTCCATACTTTCTCTTAGAATTCAAATAATCTAAAACTCTTACTATCAGAGTGTGATTTGGGAGTATGTCATTGAATTAGTTTTAAATCAATGGAAAATGTAACTGTATCATTTCTTATTTGTTGTCTTTATTATAGTAAATAGGATTTTGTATCATTTTTGTTACTATTTTATTTCTCCTGTCAAAAACAACAGCATTTTAAATATAATTTTGACCCACATGATATTGCAGTTTGCGTGTTACAAGAGTTGATCTCCTGGGTTTTTATGCAGTCCTCCATTACCATAACAAAGACACTGCCACTGGTAATCGACAGTGCAAGGGAGATAACTCAAACATTAAAAAAATGTGACAAATATGAGAGATAAAAAAAACAAACAAACCAGTGGGTGTTTTATATAGTAATATTGTTCTAACTTTACAAATTGAAGGCAAGTTATTTAAATCTTTATTCTAACCATGATAATAATTTTTACAATTTCAAAACTGATTTCCTTTATTACCTCTGAGTAGCTGCTGTTCAGAACAGTAAAAAAAAAAAAAAAAAAAAATGAATATATTATAATAATCAGATTAGTTTCCTCATCTTGGTTGTTATACTAACAATATTTCAGTCACTATCCTCTGGCCTTGTCAGGTGTTTAATGGGAATTTTGAATCAAACTTTTTACTCAACTTATAATGCTAAATCATATTTATTCCACTCTTTATGCAAGGAAATATATCAATTCATCCTTTTCATGGTACTTTTGCTTTTGACGATGGCAACCAAAAGTAGAATATTAGTCTAAATAGATTATTATTATATATAGTTGTGGACCTGGACAAGAAAGGATTCTAGAAAAAAAAAAATACAATTCTGAACTTTGGTTAGATTTGGGTTGGTTTTCAATTTCTAAATTTCCAAGCTTCCCAATGGAATTTCTGTAGGCTATACTCATTTATTTTTCATGTTTGTTTCCATGATAACCTCTAATATATTTCTTTTATCTTTTTCTTTTTTATTCCCCAAGAAAAATAATAAAAGATCAAAATGCCAATGAAAATCAGAAGAAAAGCCATCTTTCTCTTCAGAATGCTCCTTCCTTAGAAAATCTAACACAAGCAAAACAGGCTCTAAGCTTTGGGCATAACCCCAGCAACATTAATTCCTTAATAGAAGCTATTGACCCAGGTAATTTTTATTTATATTTTTGTCTATATGGTGTTGTATAATTATGCCTGCTACAAAACTGTCATCAACTTATAAAACTGTACTTGGTAAATACATAGAAAAACGAACATTTGCTTCTCATTTTAAATTTAAAACAAATTTATTCTATAAAATTCAATGTGAATATTTTTCTAACCACTTAAGAATTTGATAATTATTTCTTTCCTTGTCTTCATTAATTTCTATGAATTGTCTTGAATCTCTTTTTCAATTCATTGTTTGTGTAAGGAGCCCAAGGCAAAAACATTTTTCCTCAAGATATCTTGTCAACCATTTCAAGATGTTTCTTTTATTAAAAATTGTCTTAAATCACAAACTGATTTCTCTTGATGACCTCTTGTCGGTTAGTCACAAGTGACTAATTTACATTTTTCTTTTATGGAAACACTTTATAAAAATCACTATTTTGAATCTCTTCTATTTTTTTATATCTAAATAAATTTTAAGTGAAATATTGATAATGTTTGCTTGAGCACCACTTAATTTCAATCATTTTCTATGAATAAATTTTACTATCATTGAATATCAGAAGTGGACTATTTACGTTATCTGGACTGTTGGCCTCATCTTTATTGTCATATTGACGATTTTTCATGCCCTTTCTGCATGTTTCAGTTTCACTTATTTTCCAGACACCCAAAAAAGGCATGGCATGTGGAAGTAGAACAATCTACCCCAGTGGACTAAATAAAGGGTTTGGTTTGAAATCTCAACGTATATAACCTGAAGAAGGCTGGAATGTACACTGGCTGAAATGTCGTGTATATTACAATAAAGATGTTGACAACAGTTCGAACAATGCAAATAGTGTATATATTGTATTACACTACCTCATCTCAGAAATGTAGATAGATCAGAAGTGGAGTTTTCAAGTTAATTTAACTTGGTTAATTAAAAAAAAATAATGAAAGCTGGTTTATCAGGATCTGTACTTTTTTACATTTATTGTAATTAAATTTATGTCTTTGACCAACTGCATATTTAGACATTTATTAACCAGTTCATTTATTATATTGAAAAAGAGGTCAAAGGGAATAGTCTTATTGAATTCTCTCATACAGTTTTAATTTATTCAATTACAATTGTGGTTTTAGTTTACCAGTTTCTTTGTATGAATGTCCAGTTTAGCATGAATTGAGGTGTTACTCTTTTTTATTTTTTTTTTTTCTTGTAAGTTTGTGTGTGTGTGTGTGTGTGTGTGTGTGTGTGTGTGATATATATATATATATATATATATATATATATATATGTGTGTGTGTGTGAAGAGAGGTTCTGAAAGGTTCTCAATGTAATCCACTTCCCAAAATCTGTATTATGATGTTTGATAATTAAAATATTGATGTTGGGAAGTGGGTTTGTCCAAGAACTCTTCAGCACCCTATCGTGTGTGTGTATATATATATATATATATATATATATATATATATATAAAAATAAATCTCATTAAATAATATAAACATATTGTCTATTTGTTTTTATAATATTCTTGAGGCCCTCTATATCAAAAGGAACCAACCAACACTGAACAAAATTTATTATGAGTATAGTAGCAATGAGTATTAAATATGTATTTGAGTTGATTGACATTTTGAAATTTTATCAAGTTGCAATTTTGCCATCTCTGGTTATCGCCCTTTGATTGGGAACTCATGTTTACAAAATATCATAACCGAAACAGTTAATTTAAAAATAATTATAGCAGACAGTGTTCACAAAATCACTATCACAACGATTACAGTTACATTAAGTTTATCTTGGCAATTTTCCCCTGAGGATGATTTTGGTGGAGATCGAAAGTACTTGGCTTAACAAAAAAATACGGCGTCTTCCTTCATGAATTTCAATTAGAGAACTAGAAAAATTTATTATAAAAATAAGTAGACTTAATATGTCTATATTATTCAATGAAACATGCTTGACAAAGATATGCTGTCTAAATATATGTGTATGTTATAAAGTTTCCTGCTTTTTTGATAAAAAAAAAATTACTTTTGAGATGTGTTCAAAAAGCTTTAAAGACTTTTTTTTTTCCCTACCAAAACTGATGCAGCATCGGCAGAATCCTTTGGGTAGGAGGTGACAACACCCTTTCTGTGCATCATGAAAATTTTCACATCAGTAAGTTACATCAGTTCTTGGCTGTTATGCTTAGAGTACAGATATGTTGTGCATGCTCGTTGGATTTTCACACAAAATGACCAAACTCCTCAAGTAGAGATATTGCATCAAGTTTTGCCAAAATCTTTGTGATACTCCAGCTCAAACCATCCAAAAAGATTCAGCAGACCATTGTTGATGGTGCCATAGGAAAAACTCTGATCAAAGAGTGGTACAACTACTTCAAACATGGCTGCACCCCAGTAGAGTGCAAGGTACATTTTGGTAGACCATGCACAAATGAAAGGATGATCCAATTGAGAAATTTCAACAAATATTCACGGAAACCATTGTGTAACAATCCAGCAAATTGCTCATGAAGTGCAAATAAATACAGGGTCAGTGTCTGTCTGAGATGAGGTATTATGTACATTATTTACATTATTCGGACTATTGTCCTCATCTTTGTCACCATATTTATCACAATGTTTCAGCCGTTGTACACTCTGGCCTTCTTCAGGTGGTTGGAATGTCGAACTGAACCCTTTATTTCGCTCACTGGGGTAGACTGTTCTAGTTCCACGTGCCATGTTTGATGGATGTCAGCTATCAGTTATATCCTGTTAATTTTCCCTTTGAAAGTTCTCCACTGCCTTAACCGGGTATTGAACTCACACTCTTTGGATCTTGTCACTGGATCTAACCAACGCCTTTATCCACTGTGCCATGTGTCCTTGAGGACACTGGCACAGTCTACCCAGTGAGCGAAATAAAGAGTTCAGTTCGACATTTCAACCACCTGAAGAAGGCTGGAGTGTACAACGGCCGAAACATTGTGATAAATATGGCGACAAAGATGAGGACAATAGTCGGAATAATGTAAATAATGTACAGGATCAGTGTATTCTATCTTAACATGTTTAACATTTTTGTGCATGCAGAGAGTGTTGGCAAAATTTGTTCAGAAGGTGCTGGTGGAGTAGCAGAAGCAACTTTGCATGGTTTTCAGAGAAGATTGGGGAAAAGCCAGAAGTCACATGGTGCCAAGTCGGGAGAGTAGGGAGCTTGTCAAACAAGTGGTGTATTGTTCTTAACCAGGACAGTTTGTAGTATCTCTGTTTGATGGGTTTGGTCATCTTGCATGAAAAAGAAAATCTAAAGAGCAAGCACTACACGTCTGTACTCTAGGCATAACAGCTGGGAACTGACATGGCCAACTAGCACAAAATCTCATACATGCAGAAAAAGTGTGGCGTCACCTCCCACCGAAAGGATTTTGCCCCCACGGTATTAGTTTTGGCAGGAAAAAATAAAGTTGGATATTTTTTTTGAACACACCTTATGACTGTTTTGATCTGTTAGCTTTATATTGACAATGTTTGTTCTATGAAAATTTTTTTTTTTTTGTGTCTTTCAAATCAAACTATTTTTTTTTTTCTCTTCCTCTTGAAATGTATTGGTCATTTTTAAACTTTTTTACTTGTGAACACTTTGGAATCCTGCACACTAAGTTTAAGAAGTATTCTTTAATGATTCTTTTAAACTTGGCATTTCAGAATTCTTGTTTGACTTTACAGAAAAAAGACCAGTTTTTATTCATTGCATTGGTTTATTCAAGCTGATTCCTTTCTTTACCTTTCTGTTTTTTATCACAAGAATGTCAGATTATCTATAGCTGCAACCAAACACTGGATAAATCATTCATTTTATCCAGTTACCACATTTTTGTGCTGCTGTGGTCAACACTCCCTCCATTTCACACTTGTTGTTCATGGTGATATTCAAGACAAAATAAATGCAATGGCTTGCCAGTTCCTTTTGCAAGAAGATGTTGAGGCTTACCCTGTCCCTCCTCTTGGAGGTAGATTTATCAAAAACAATAATTGATGTTTCCCTTCTAGCTTTTTTCTAAAGAGGCAGGACCTACAAGCCAGCAGGTGGTTTGAATTCAGTTTCCTTCTCCTAGACTTGTTGTCGCCTAGGGCTATAGGACCCAATCTATTTTACCCATAGCTGAGGCAAGAAGAGATGAATTCATTTCCAAGGGTATTAGCACGTATGTAAATGTAATGACCTAGACTGGAATTTAAACTCTGCTCTCCGATTCCTCAATCCGAGCTGCTGACCATTAATCCCTCGTGCTTCCATTATAAGAAAAGAACAAATACTAGGTTGGCCAAAAAGTCCTGACTCACTTTGGATCTTTCTTGGGTGGAATTTCCAAGTATTACATTTTGAACTTGTTCCACACAGTCGCACCATCAGCTAGACCATGTATACAACAAACTAAAGAAAGGATACCCTGCTTTGGTCAGTCAAGGTTGTGCTTTGTTGTTTCAGCAAGACAATTCGAGGCCACACACTGCCAGGTTGACTAAGGAGAAGTTCAGACAGATGGACGGTATTGAGATTCTTCCACATCCATCATTCAGTCCCAATGCTATTTCGAGTGATTACGGCACACTTTCTCTGCGACCAGTGATTCAACATTTTTGATGAAGATTGTTTACAGTTGTTTTTCTTTATTTTTTTTTAATTTTTTTATTATTCAAAGCCAGCGGAATGGTATCTGACAGATTTGGATACTGGCTGATCACTGACAGAAGATTGTCAAGAATGATGGACTTTATTTTGAAGAGTAAATGTTGATGTTGTTCCATAAAATTTTCTCTTTTTCTTTCTGCTTCCAAAGTGAGTCGGAACTTTCTGGCCAACCTAATTAATCTGAATAAATCATTTCAGTTAACCGACACATTTCTTGCATTTGTTTTGACTTTTACTGCAATCATTGGCTGTTGCAGTTTATTTATGGAATATATTTACTGTTTTAATATATATAACTTTTTAGGACTAATCTTTTCTACCTACCAAACTATAAAATAGAATCTATTGTCTTGATTTGAAGGTGTTTTTTTTTTTTTTTTTTTTTTTTAATCAATTAATGATTTTCTTTCTTCTTTTCTAGCCTGGACTGTTTGTCAAGTATCTGTTGTGGCCTCTCCTAACTTTTCTTCACCTCCAGTTTTGATAGTGACACAGTATCGGCACAACACTTCTCCAACAATTGTTTCATTGCCTGGATATAGTCAGTCAGGGGTAAGATTGAGATGGAAACATTCTAGGCCTTTTTCTATATTTATTTTTTTACTTTACTGTTTTAAACACAGATTAATAACCGGATGGACTTGTAGAAATTCCCTGGTTGTTGATAACTAAAATATTCTTTTATGAGTGTGAATAATTATGAAGAGAATTGACCAATTATATGCAAATTAGATATGAATTTACCAAATGAAATTAGTAAAAGTAAATATAGAAAATTATAGCGGTATATAGTTAAGAAGAACTGGGAAGATCAGAAAACCTAACATTGGTGAGGCACTCTGGCAACACACATAGACATGTTTGTGGTGCCAGTTGAGCACGGATTTATAGTTTGAACAGTGTAAGGAATTTTGAAAACTTAGAAACATATTTGTTCATTATAACCAGCTGGGATCAAAATTTTGACCTTTTAACTAGAACAGATAGAAAAATTCAGATGTAACTAAAATATATCTGTAAAAGGACACCATTTTTTTTTTTTTGTTATCTTCAACATCATCACTTGATAAGACACCGAGGATGTTGAAACAAAATGGCTATTTTTGTAGTGATTTTATAACATACTTATGTTATAATTTTTTTTATATAAATATATATATATATATATATATATATATATATATATATATATATAATAATTCAATTTTTGTTGGAATTTATTTTTGTGATTTTTGTTGCTCTTTCTAGATTTACTTTGAAAAACTCAAAATTCTAAAAGTGAATTGAAAATCAATCCTGGAAGTTTGGAGAAAGCTCAATTTGTGCATATTACAGTCGGGACCCTAAAAATAATAGTGAGAGGGTGGGAGCTAAGTCAGATGCTAAGTTTTAAAGATTCCTGATTCGATAATTTTATTTTTTTTACTGTGATCTTTTTTTTTTTTTTTTTTTTAAATGAAACCTATAGATTTTTTCTGCCAATAAAAACCTATATAAAAATTTTAGAAGCTAATATTTTGGGTAAAAATGAAGTTAGTTTTCTGATTCATTTTGAAATGATTTTAAACAAATGATACATCTGAGCTCAATCACTTTGTCATGGATTTTGTAACCAAAAGGGGGACAAATATAAAAAGTAGTTGGGTGGAAGCTTCTCACAACACTCTATGAATGTATTAGATAGACAAAAAAAGAAATAAATTACATGGAAGTTTTGGAGTAGAAAAGTATTATGATTGTAGGTTTGTGTCCTATCTAGCCATAGTTCCATGACTGAATTGGTTAAGACATTGGCCATGAAATCCAATCTCTCAGCATATGCGATCTAAGTTTGAGTATTATTAGAAGTTGCTTCTTCCCCTTTTTTTTATTTAAAAAAAAAACTTTATCAGCTTAATTGTCATGTCTTCAACTTAGAAATTTGCAATAAGATGGAAAATGGTGGGTCAAAAATGATTTAATATTTTATGTCACATTCAAAATAGTTCTTTCATGTGTTTATATTTGCATAAATGTTGATAGATAGATCTCAATATTTCCAACAGCCTCCTCCTACTTATATCAAATCTGTGACCATGGGGCTTTGCTAGAGAATTTTTATCTTTATTGCAGCTGCACTTCCCCCTTCCTTCCCTTATATTTCAGGTTTTACTCAAGTAGCATTGTTGTTTTAAAATGAGGAAAAGTGAACGCTAACAAATTCTTTATACCATAATGAATTTTTCCTTTTTTTTTTCTTTTCTTTTTTCCAGGGTAATCAGATATTAAAGTTACACGAGTATATCCAACATTCGAATCGTAAAAGTCTAAGCCTTTTGAATAAAAATGAATGGTGGAATGCAAGGCATATGCTTAATAATAAACTGCAGGTAAGGTCTTCAATCAAATTGTTACGGTGTACATAAGTCTCTCTTAATACAACTTGTATCGATTTTAATTGGGTTAATCTCTGATAGATGTTTAGAAGTAATGTAAGAGTTGTCAGTACGGAAAGTGGGATTGTTGAATTGAATTCAAATTCAACACTCGTCTATTTTGTTCACTTTTGCATTGATGCCCTTTGAGGGGAGGAGAAAGCATGAATGTATCTCCTCCTCTCTCTTCCCCTCCAGCTATGGATCAAATCAACTGGACTGTTTGAGTTTTTAATTGTAGCCAGTTTAGGAGAAGAACACAGAATTCTAAACCATGGAAAAGGTTATTGGAAATCACTTCACTATCTTTCCCAAGATGTCATAACAATTCACAGATATTAAAGAAAAGGAATCTGTGTCATGAACCAATCTTGTCTCCACCCCAGGCGGACGTGGAACTTTTTTACTTGTTTGTGGTCTGGTTATTTGGAATAAAGTTTGATGTTAATATTACATCTGTAAAGGGGTGTAAGTTTTATTTGAAGGTTGATAAATGAAAATCATTTTCATTTAAATAAAGCCAAAAATATAAATTTAATCCATTTTATTTGAAAAAGTTTTTGTTTATTTCTTGTACTTTGAAAAATTTTGCAACTTGTCAACTCGTTTTGTTTGTTTGTTGTTTTTTTTTTTTTTTTTTTTTTTCTGTTAAGGAAATAAAAGAAGAAAAAAAAATCAAAAATCAAATCCAGTAAAATTGAGGCATGAAACAGTCGATGTTGCATTGGTAAAAACTAAAATAATTTCAGACTGGATAATATAACATTATTGATCACTAAAATGGAATGTCGATTAATATATCCTGTGCATGTCTTCTAAATTTGCCTCGGTCATTAAAAAACGAATCTAACAGATTTGTGGATCCTAATCCTGAAAGCATGTCAGCTATTTTCCTTGTATCAAATTTGAGGAATCTTAAGTGATGAATGTCTAGATCCATTTCTTTTTGTTTTTAAATCTTTATTTGAATGGGTGAGTGTAGAATTTTTGTCTTCCTTTTGCAGATTATTCTTAATCAAATGGAACGCTATTGGCTTGGTTGCTGGAAAGGAATTCTGCTCGGTCATTTGACAAATGAAGATGATCGGAAGAAATTGAAAATGTCAGCTGAAAAAATCGCTGACATCATCAAAGAGAAATGTTCCAAGGAGCCCAATCTTGGATTAATTCAGGTAAACAATTCAATTTTATTGTCTACTATGAAATACAATGAATTTTCAGAGTATAGTGTTTGAGCTATGTTATTAATATAACATTATTAATTGAAAAATACTTGTGCAAAAATATATTTTCATTTTGTTTTTATGATGAGGCCACAGACTTATCCATGTACCCAAATACTGTGAAATAAGCAGAATGACTTCAGCTTTTCATCTAAAAGTATAAAATGTGAATTAAAAAATAATACATATAGCATTTAAAAAGCACAAAAAAGATACTTAAAAAATTGTCTGACCTTTAAGTTTGGTGTGTGATAATACTTACCTACTTTATTCAGGATTGAACTGTGATCATTTTAACAGTCTGGTTGCTTAACTAGGCTCTCATGGAAACCTGATTTGATGCCTTGTGGCTTAATTCAAGAGAGTGTTTGGTGTGAGGATAAAAGAAGTTCAGATAAGAATATTGGTAAACATACCTCTTCAGATGCTGGCATTCTGAATAATGCTCTATCTGGCCAACATGAAAAAAAAAAAAAAAAAAATGTCCTGCAGGCAGGTGTTTACCTTGTGTTATAATATAAAAATGGTTATTTTATTACTCTAAGCACATAATTTTCATAAATGCCTTTTTAATAATTAGGTTACAGAATTACTGACAGATAAAGAAATACAATGTTTCCTTTTACTTGACAGTATGAAAGAATTGCTAATATCAACTTTGACATTATCAAAAGCAAGCAAAATATCTTTGTCATTGACTCAATTTTTATAACTTTATTATTCAATTTAACTTTGTACATTATTTTCACTATTTCATATTGTTTTGATAATTCCTTTCAAAATTTCTATGAAAATTTTCTTTTAATATCCAAAATAAAACTTCCATGTACATATTATTTTAACACTTGCTTTAAAATAATTTATTCATTGGAATAAAAACTGGAAACTCTTTTCATTTTTCTTTTCAGATTTTAATTGATTCTATTGAATGTTTGTCTGCTGAAGAACAGAACCTGGCCATTAGTCAAGTGACTGGTTTAGACGATGTTTACTGTAAAGATTTCATTTCCATCAAGTCTCAAATATTGCAACTCTGCAAAAGTCTCAACTCTTCTGTCTCTGACAGACATCCTCTCATTATCATTTTGGATAAGGTATTTAAATAAACCACCCATTCATATTGACTGATATAAATTTTTCTATACTTATCTTTTTATAGTCTTCCCTTTTCTATAGATTTTATGGCTTTCGTGTTTTAAATGCTTTAACATTTATCCTTTTGCAAAAATGTGAATTTTATAAACACTTTATTTTAGAGTAAATATTTTTGCAGAGAAACAGGTTCCAAGTTATCTTCAAAGATTTGCAGTTTTTTATGTCTTTGAGCAGGGACGGTTTTTAAATTGTTATAGCTACTTGGAACTAAGATATTTTTGTGTGATGTCATATTGACAAAATATCTTGTCAGTCACCTCAAGACAATCATTTCTCTGTTTTCGTCACTATCTATAAATTGTCTTGAATCATGAATTCACTACTACAGTAGGAAGAGACCCAAAGCAAAAATTTTCTCAAAAGATATCTCCAAAAGCCACACCGGGTCAATTGTTTCTTTTACTGTCTTCATCACTATCTACAAATCATCTTGAATCACTAATTAATTCTATGCCAGAATAGGACGTAGAACAAGATACCAAGTGGTTACAATTTTATTTTCAAAATTAAAAATCTTGTATGAGAAATGTTACAGAATACAAAGGCCAGGGCTAGAATGGTCAGCAGTTGGCCAGAGTGCCTTCTGGGCAAGGTATTCTGTTAGGGATGGATTGCCTTTAGGTTTTGAATATCATTTTGGATAAGGTATTTAAATAAACCACCCATTCATATTGACTGATATAAATTTTTCTATACTTATCTTTTTATACTCTCCCCTTTTCTATAGATTTTATGGCTTTTGTGTTTTAAATGCTTTAACATTTATCCTTTTGCAAAAATGTGAATTTTATAAATGTCAAAAAAGGCGGAAATTCAAGAATTCTGAAGTGCCTCCCACATCCACGTTAGCTCAACTGGCTAAGGCTACCCGAAGAGGGAAACTGAGCTGACATGTGTTCCTGCAATGTCAGTCCTCTTACTGCCTCTTAGAATCCAAGCTGTCACACTTGATAAAATGAATATAAAAAAATAAATGGCCCCTTTCGTTGATATCATTTTATGTAGAAGCCTAGGGATCCGAAGACAACACAGAATGCAGCAAATAAAATGATAATCTTTCCTTTGGTAACAATAAATTCCTCTTAAGCTTTTTTTTTGAGTCTGGTTTAAAACATTTTGTAATTTGTTTTTTTTTTTTTTTTTAATGACTTTTCAGGTTGTACAACATCTTCCCTGGGAAAATCTGCCCATTTTACGTAATCGACCCGTTTCTCGAATACCTTCCCTTTATTACCTTAAAGTTCAGATGTCTTACCTTCATCATAGGAATTCGGTGATAACTGATGGTTTTGATCCCAAAAGCACATTCTATGTGCTTAACCCTGATGATAATTTGCCATGTACACAGGAGATCTTTCAGAAATCTTTTGAAAAGTAAGTGAAACTCATTTTTTTATTTTATGTGGGTAAGGATGGGGAAGTAGACATAATTTTGTAGCCTCATGGGTTTTCAGAAAATATATTGGGTTTGTCCTTTCAAATTAGAACATTCTTTCAATTGCACATTTTTAAATAATTATATTTATTAAAAAGAATTTTAATACATGTATAAAATGCATTTTTGGGTTGTTTATTTGAATAATTAATGCATTAATTGCAACAGAAAGTTTTTGTCATTTGCAGTCAAGCTTAACTAAAATTATGGATTAAGAATAAGCAAATTGAAATTGGCAAATGTTTGCTTCTCTGCACTTCTTTTCAATTTCTAGGATTTTATTTTTAAACAGAAGCAAGAAATTTCTTTTAAATTGTTTATTTGTTTCTTTCTCAAAATAGAATTTAAATTTTTGAATTGAAAGAAAAAATGAAAAAAAAAAACCCAAAAAAACCCACTTTATAAAAGTTTACTTTCGTCCCATAATATTTGCTACATTTGAATGCATATTTCATACATGAAATGTAACAACTATTATGGAACAGTCAGTAATACCAAATTGCTTGGCATGTATCTATTTGCAATTTTCGGAAAACCATTTTTTACTTAAGTGTTTATCCAGCACTTTCTACTCAAATATGGCTATGTATTAAAAACAGCTTTTTAAGTCTTAAGGATTAAAGATAAATGAAAAATCCATTACTACTTCAGAAATTGCTTTGTTTACATTTCAGATATGAAACTGGGCAGATATTAATTTTTGACAAAAAAATCTGAACAAGGAGATGTATTTAAAGGCAAATAGAACCTTGCTTGGCTGTGAGGCTCTCTGTGGCCGAGTAGTCTAAAGCATGCTAGATCAGATGGTGGTTTCTCTTGCAAAGGAGGACACCGGTTTGAATCCTACCAAAGGGCACCTTTTCTTTAATGGATTTTCTTAAGTGTGCAGAGACTGGTAGATGAAATAAACAAGGTTTAAAAAAAATAGAAAATAGGATGCTCTACACAGATATGAGTATCAACTAAAAAACGTTTGAAGTAATAAAATGTGTCGACTTAAAAAAAAAATCCATTAATTCTTGTTGTGGAGATGAACACATCTCTTCAGAATATGACTTGGACTCATCCAAATAGCATGCATACTGATGCTGAGAATTGTCAGCGGAGAGCAAGCCTTATATCTTTAATATAATATTCAGTAAGACTACATTGACTCCAAGCAACATTATCTTTCATGATTGTGTTATCTTCATTCAATGGAATGAAGATATATATTAAAAATCTTTTAATATATTTCAGTACTGAAGGCTGGGAAGGAGTGGTAAGCAAGCCACCCACTGCAGACCAATTTATTTCTGCTCTTACACAAAAGGATACCATGATGTAAGTATATGTACCATATTTGATGTAAGACAGTCCACTTATCTTTTACATTTAATATTTTGCAGTACTAGAATGTTTTTGCAACACACTAATGCATGTTGACATACTCACAATGTTGTTGAATTTTTCACTAACAGTTTTTGTCGATATTTACAAACTCTACATTTCATTAAATTTCGCAAACCAATTGATGAAATTTGAATAAGCTGAGTTATTTGGGAAAATACTTTGACAAAAATCCTGCTTTAAGGTTTAATAAATTTCTTTAATTCAATTTTATAGGACTTTATGGTAAACAATATTTTTTAAAATAATTTCTTTTCTTCCTTTTTCCTTTTTAAGAGAGAAGAATAAATTCTTAGGATTTCTTACTCTTGAGCATGCAACATACAACTGGCCATGTGTAAATATTTCTTTCTGGAGCCAAATTCTAACTTTTGAAACATTTGGCCTTGTGATTTGTTTATAATTCTCTCAAATGCAGAGCAAACTGGAAACTTGATCTTTGTATATATATCAAAACTTTAAAAAGAAAGATATGCAAAAAACTTGCATTTTTATTCAATAAATATTTATTTTAATCATTAAGTTGTTTTTAAAATAGTGGGAGTATTTTGTATGTTAAATAAAACTTTATTTTTTTTTTTTTTTTTTTTTTTTAGTGAATGAATATTTATTGTACTAAGCTACACATCCTAGTAAAACCAACTGTACTTTGTACCTCCTTAACTGTTTGCCCTTCGCCCCTAAATTTGGTTTCGACTGGCCAATGTATGGCTATTATAGAGGGTGTAAAAGTCACAGAATTAGATTACTAGTGCATGTACTCAGCTGATGGTACTGGGGTAAAAATTTACATCTAACATCTTCAAATTGTATCTACAAAATATGGAGTGAGGGTCCTTTTCAGCCATTTTTTTGTTTTCTTCTTTCAAGAGGAGTGTTAAATGTCATATGGTGGTGGTATGACTTTTTAAATGAATTTAAAAAATTTTCATTTACAGTCAGTATCACAAACTGCCCTAGTTTACACAGTGAAAATAGGTAAAAATACTGAAATTTCCTTCCATTTCAACTGCTGATATCTCTTTTTCAAGGATATTTTGATAAAATTATGGATATAAACCAATCTTAATCTTTTCTATTTCTAAAATTAGTTTTTTCTCATGTTTTATGATTAGTTTTTATTTCACGTCTCTGAAGAAAAAGAATTGTCCATTATTGAAATAGTGGCATTCATTTTCAAAGCTGACAGTTTTGTTGTGGTATTTTTTAAAACTTGTGCTGAGTTGTCTCCCCCTACACATATCAAATGACTTTTTCTCACAGATGGTGCCCAACTGACTCTACTATACTGTGCAGTTGACAAAAACAAACAACATGCATGCACAAAATTAAAAATATAAAATGGCGACAATTTTCCCATAGCACTGTGTGTGTGGTAAATTGTCGCCATTTTATTTATATATAATATGTATATATATATATATATATATATATATATATATATATATATAAACATTTACCAATCTGACACGTTAGATTGGTAAATGTTTCATATCTGTATATATATATATATATATATATATATATATTCTTTTTGTAATCCGTTTTGTTACGACTGATCATGCGATTTTGAGAAAGTGGAACCACCTCTTAATTATGTTGCTCCCAGGCCTACTCTGACTTGGGGTTATAGCACTCATTAGGTCCCCCATCTATGGGCAAATAGTGAACACCTTGCAAACTGGGATCAAAACACTAAGTAGAAAAAGGCATTTTCATATTAAAAATACCAGCCATACATTTTAATAGTTAAAAAAGAGTTTGTGTGTGTGTTTTTTGTTTTTTTTTTGTTTTTTAATTGATTCCATTCTTGTTGTGTCTATTTTCAGTTATTGCGGCCATGGTGATGGTAACAAGTATTTGCATGGGGATTATCTTCAACAATTAAATTGCCGGGCAGTTGCTGTCTTAATGGGTTGTAGTAGTGGACAAATGGAGGCAAAAGGAATCCTTGATGAAACGGGAATGATTAACAATTACTACCTGGCATTTTGGTAAGTACGTCATTTCCAGAATACATCTTCTCGTCTCTTTGATTTTTATTTCTTTAATGTTTGTTTTCATGTGATTTGATATTATTTGATCATGCTTAATGCATATTTACTTTGAATTTGTTTGGTTTCTTATTAATTTTCAGATGAACTTGTCTTGTACACAGTATTAGGGAAACATTAAATGTGTCTTACTTGTTTGTTTCTTGGGCAATTGATTGGATTTTGTATGTCGTTTACAAAACTTATGATAAAATCAGAAACTAAGAAACTATATTCCCATTTAACTGATGGAAATGAATTTTACCAGTTTTCACCATTTTTAATTTAATTTATTTGATTGTTTTTGTTTTTCGGATTAGTTACTAGCGATCTGTTTATCATGAGAATCCAAAAGAAAGACATGAATGAAGTGGGAGTGGGGTCGTTTGAGTTTGGTGAGGTCCAATTAGGGAAAGTTTTGTTACAAATTCTTGTAACCTGGATAAACTGTTTACTGCATACTGCTACAGTGAGCAATTGGCACATTTAAATGACATACTTTCTGGACAAGGAAGCTGGTAACTTTGTATAAACAGTGAAAATGCACTGGGAAAGTCTTCTGCATGTAGCATATTTTCCAGATGGTCAGTTATTTCATTTCTTGTCTGGATAGCAGTTTCAGCTGTTTGAAGATATGGAAAAATACCTTGAAGAAATCATTAAGTTGCCATTTTTACCTGAAAAATTGCAAAAGGCTAAGAGCCGAGTAAAATACTTTGATAGCTGAATAATCAGATGAATTTAAATGAAAAAAAAAAAATCATAAAACAAAAATATGCTGGAAACTTTTGTATCTATCAAATATATATATAATATTAAAAAATTATAACAAACATGTTATAACATCACTACAAAAATAGCCATTTTGTTTCAATGCTGCTTGTGTTTCCTTAAGTGATGTAGAATAATGAGGTTTTTTTTTTTTTCTACATTCAACATTATCACTTGAAGACACCTGAAATGTTGAAACAAAATGGCTATTTTTGTAGTGATGTTATAATATTTGATATAATTTTTGAATAAATAATATTTGCTCTACTCTGTATTGAAGACTCTTTTAAGAATAGTGTTATTGGAATTTTATTCCATTTGCACCGATCCTATACTTGCATATATATATATATATATATATATATATATATATATATATATATATATAAATAAAAAGGCTTAAACATTAATATTCCATGGTCATAATTTATTCCATTGGAATCGTAAATACGATCCAAATCATCAGACCTACAAATTCAAAATGAAAACAGAAAAAACAACTCCGGAAATCAAAACAGAATTTAGAGAAAGTGTAAGTATGAGGAGGAGGGAGATGAAACCTTAACAGAGAGAATTTTAGGAGATGTGGGGCGGGGGAAATTAAAAAGAGGAGAGAAAGAAAGTCGACGGATGTCTAATGCATAAAGATACATTTCGTGGTGACATACACACACCATAGACAATTAGAAGTTAGGATAGGAGGTAGGGGGGGAAAAAGAAAGAGAAGAGGTGGGGGGAGAGATGGGATGAAGGAAAATAAAATTGTGTTTACTTAAAGGGCCGCTTTGTAATTGAGAAAATTAGTATCGACTACAGGTTAGAAATCAAATATAAATATATGAAGATGAATATAACGATTGTCTAATCTAGCAAGGACCAAATATTTCTATGTTCAAAAACACATGCTAATACACACAATAACATATACAAGTAGGTACATACACTTAGGCATGTACTCACACACACACACACACACACACATATATATATATATATATATATATATATATATATAAATAAAAATATATTCACATATCCACACATACACATATTCATCTATATTCATATACACACACTTTTCACATACATATACATGAATACACATGCCCCCATGCATATATTCATACATACATATATATACATACATATATATATATATATATACACACATACATACACCTACATATACATATATCCACACATACTAATACACACACATATATACATGTATATGCGTGTGCACACACACACACACATATATACATATCCATATGCACACATATATATATATATATATATATATACACATACGTATACACACACACATACATCATATATATATATATATATATAATTTTATTTATTTATTTTTTGAATCATTATCACCAGGGGTTACAGGGTTTGGAAGAATTAAGGACGGAAACGTTAATGATGAGTGGAAAGAGAAAAGAGTCATCAGGGGGAACAGTAGAGAGCAGTTGATATTGCATTTAAATTTTTGCAGATTAAAGTTGACTGGAAAGCATGGAGCTCAAAGAGAGTTCATCTCGGCAGCTCAACTGTAAATTGATGAAATTTCAATGCCAGTCTAGTGCTGTGCTTAAATTAAAAAACATATGGTACCATAGCAAAAACACCAAAGTTAATTACTAAGGTTGGAATGCCGTTAAACAAAACAACCAAACGAAAGTTAATTACATTTTAAAAGATTTTTTCAATAATATCTATGCAAGTTTATTTTAGTATTTATCTAGTAACATGTTAAAAACACAAGGGTGGAATGAGTTTATTAAAATGAGTGACTTCCTTTTTTAAATTTTTTTTTTTTTTTTTTTTTTTTTTTTTTTCCCCCAAATATTCTCTACAGGCAAAATTTTGTCAATCTTCACCATTTAAGTTTTTTGAACTTTGTGCCAAAGTTTAAATTTTGATGTTTTCTATTAACATTTTACCAAGAAATTCAATTGAATCATTTTTCCATTTTAAACAAAAAAATATTCTTGTGATATAAATTGGTAAATATGCAAGAAAATACTCAGGTTTTGTTTAATTGGATAATTATCCATAATTTAAGAATGGTAGCCAATGGTGTATCATTCCTAAGTAGATGGGAGTGGGGAAATTATTTGGGGATAAATCTAGATTATTACATTTTTTTTTTTTTCTTCAAATCTTTTTCATAATTGATCCCATCTTAGACATGATTTTACCCTCATGCATCTTGCTATATTTTAATCTTTGTTTTATATTTTTTCATTTCAAGTCCTGTGATTGTGGCTAATCTGTGGGACGTGACTGACCGTGATATTGACCGCTTTCTACAGACTCTTCTCAATAACTGGATCCTCTCCAAAGATGAAGCCAAAATCTCACTCACTGAAGCTGTGGTGAAAGCACGAAGTGCCTGTAAACTTCCTTACCTCATTGGCTGTGCACCAGTTGTTTACGGCATTCCTCTCTGA